AGCATGGCCAGGCTGGAAAATAAACTGACCAAGTGGCTTGCAGATGACCAGCCATCTTTCAAGCGCTACCACAGCGAGAGACCACAGGCTCACCATACCTGGAACGACAATGACAGACATTAAAAAACCTTTTTGAAACCATTTTAATGAAGTTCAGGAATAAAAAAGGGCCTGATGAAGTATATTGTTTCGAACCTACAACTTGAATCTTACCTCCAAGCGTTGCCAAAAAACCTTCAACCTTGCATCCTAGTGTTCCAAAGACGAAATATCTGGCTGCAAATGAGACGAACGCAGTGAAGGAGCCCGCGCAGGCCACGAGGAGGTTTGCCACGGCCAAGTTCACCAGGATGTAGTTAAGGTGGGACCGGAGCTTCTTGTATTGGATAGTGGTGGCAATGGTGAGGACGTTAATGGCAGTGCCAAAAATAAATATGAAGAACATGAATCCTGCCATGCCATAGAAGAGGGACAAGTCCCCCAGGTGGTCCTGTGGAACCAGGAAAGGACTCAATGCCGTGAGGTTGTTGGTGTCCAGGGGAACAGGTATCCAGAAGTCTTCTGGTAGCGCCATGGCCCGAGATCCTCTCATTTAGCCTATTTATATATATATCAAAATAATTGTTATACCGAAAGTGTTCTCCTTGTTGTTGCTTTACAGATCATATATATCATATAACAAGAGTAAAAGTTTTAAGAGGCATACATGAATGCTTTGTGGTCTGCGTCCCTAACGCCTCTTACTAATCTCTTGTGGAGGAGGGACTTTTATAAAGGTACCCAGGAAGCTACTCATCCCCATTAATGGTTAATGAAACTATAATTGAATCATATATTAGGGTAGGCTTTAATCAGTGTAATTCATTTAGTGGATTGCCCTTCTTGCTGTACTGCCAAAGAGGATACAACCTGGATATTTGAGGGGTTGAGGATAACTTATGCAAAAAGTAGAAAGACATCTTTGAAAATGTTATAGTATAGGTTTTTGTCATTGGAACATACAAAAAAGGGATATAAAGCATGTGTAAAGTATTGAAAATCATATATTGGTGCTTATCTAACTGCATGTGATACAGCAAACCTTTGAAAGTTGTTTTTGGTAAGAAAGACACTAAATTATGAATGTGAGTGCTATTTGGAGCTAAGAAGTTGAATTTAAAAGGTTCACTTTTTGTAGGAACACAATGCACAGGTATCTCAGTCAAGGAACACACACAAGCATGTAAATGTGTGCACCTGTGTAGATATACGCTTGCAAGCTAGTTCTTAACATGAAAAACCGATTAAAGTTTAACCCCAATTTCTTAAGGAAGACTGCCGTAGGTATTTGCCTGCTAATCTGATTAAACACCATTAACTAACGATTTCATGCCCCTTAAACCCTTTTAATCCTCTCTTTTCGTAACATTGCCTCCATCTCTGAGCTTAAAGAGTGTACGAGACGTTGAGAACTTAGTGTAATCGCAAAGATGCTCACTGTACCTTTGTCAATCCAATTAGCCGATGCAGAGAGGACCTTGGTGCATCATCAGGGAGGCTGTTGCGCAATGGACTGGTTTGTGGTGTTCGGATCAGCGGGTCACAAGTTCAAACCCCACTGCAGTCAGCATGTCGTTGTGTCCCTGGGCAAGACACTTCACCACAAATGGTACCACTTTACAATAAGACTACCCTTATAAAGGAGTCATAAAGGGTTTATAATTAGGTTATGAATTAGGTTGTAAACACTTTATTAATCATTAAGAACCATTTATATGTTTTATATGTCTGTTTTACATTAATGGTTGAATCTACCAATCTTTATAATCATGAATCACATTTATGCGTAACAAGTGACAGGAACATTATTTGTTATTATTTCCAGACTGGATGAATTAAAGGGTATACAAATCATTCATTTGAATATCAGGAGTCTATTGCCCAAAATGGATTTACTTCGGATATGGGTTGTCCTATATAAACCTAAAATCATCACACTCTGAAACTTGACTTAATAGTAACATTTCCGATAGTGAACTACAAATCACAAATTATTTGCTTTACAGATCTGATAGATGCAGCAGGGGTGGAGGTGTGGCTATTTATGTTTCTTCTGATCTTGTGACTGAGCTAATTGCTACTTCTATAGAGCCTCTACATTTTGAATGCATTTTTCTTAAAATCATTTTGCATGAAAATAAGTGTTTAATTATTGGTAGCATCTATAGGCCACCTTCTTCACCTGCAGAGTCTTTTAACCACATCATCGACACTATCAACTCCATTTCCTGCAGGAATGAAATAATCTTGCTTGGTGATTTCAACAAAAATTGGTCGGATAAATCATCTGATAGAGAGAAAAAACTTTTCAGTAGTCTAAATGTTAAACAGCTCATTAATGAGCCAACTCGTATCACTCTTAGAACCCAATCTCTGCTTGACTGGATACTGGTGTCACACCCTGACAGAATCTGAAAAGCTGGTGTCATGTCGGATTGCTTCAGCGATCATTCAATTGTTTATTGCGTATGGAAAATCAAATTAATTAAACTACCTCCAAAACTAGTGAAAATCAGACAATATAACAAATTGAATGTTGATTTATTTATTAATGATGTTGATGCCCTTAATTGGGACAGATGTCAACTAATACCTTTTGTACAAGATGCTTGGGATGTTCTGCATAAAGAGCTCACTGAGGTCATGAACAAACATGCACCTGTGAGAACGGTTAAGGTCAAAGGTCAACATCTCCCTTGGATCAGTTCTGAACTCATCAGTCTCTTTAGGGAAAGGGATAAAGCATGGTCGATATATCGTCATTCAAGAACTATAGCCGATTGGGAAGTATACAGGCATCTTCGAAATCTGAGTAAAACCAAAACCCGAAATGCTAAATCGAACTACTATAAAGAATCTCTCACATCGGACTTTAAGAATCCCAAGCAATTTTGGACTAAAATTAAATCTATTTTAAATAAATCAGGTAAACATTCTATTAATAAAATAAGAACTGCTGATACAATAATTCATGACCCATTATCCATTGCCCAAATATTTAATCAGCATTTCGCTGATTCGTTCCACACTACTATCTGACTCCTATTTG